AGGAAAAAATTTTGTTTTGACCATTCAAGTTGTGTCCGCGTAGGGAAAAGTGTAGTATAGTATAGTTTAGTATAGTATTGCAAAAACAGTACATTTTGTGGATTCAGACGGGACCCTCAAGACAGCCAAGACACTGTCCAGTTGATCCTATTCGTGTGTTTGGCAGTTATTGTAAAAGCAAGCACAAAGATTTCAGTGATGTATTTTCCCTCAAATCAGTTTATCCATATATTTTTTGTATCATGTCATTTGAAAGGTATTCTCTAACAAACGATGCACAACACACTGACCAAAAATGAAGTGTGTGGCAACTATTCACAATACGCTTAAGAATTCTAGTGAAATCAAAAATCAATTAACCAATCTGATGAGACCTAAAACAATGTGAAACACGAGAAGCCACACGTCGGTCACTAACCTGGACGACCTGGATAGCCAGCCGGACCCTCGGGACCTTCGGGACCGGATGGTCCGGGAATACCTGGATCTCCGATTGGGCCGACAGGACCACGTTCACCTTTTGGCCCATCCGGTCCGCGAGCACCTTCCAAACCGGGCACACCTTTCTCTCCTTTGCGTCCCATTGGACCAACGGGACCGACGGGACCGTAAGCACCTTTGATACCTTTGATACCCGGTTTGCCTTGCTCACCAATATCACCTTGTTTACCCTGCAAAATCAGGGCGGGATCAGAGCAAATGAAAGCAAATAGGTGTTGAAGTAGTCGAGCAGCTGGAGAAATACAGAACTGCTTATCATGTAGTGTAGTGCAGTACACGGTTGGGCCAACTTACCGCAACACCCTCGGAACCGCGTTCTCCTGGCTTGCCCATTGGACCTGGGAGACCCTGAATTGGTAAGAATTACGGGAGGTGTATGAGTAAAAGAACCAGAAGTAATCAATAAATACAAAAATAACACATATACAAAGCCACACAACACAACTGCACAAATACCCGAATCAAAAGCATCAGACATTTGTAATATCGAGCAGATCAGATCGATCAGATCAAGTGAGCTTTGCTACACACTTTTTTTATCGGTTGAACTCCTATTTTTTCCGGTGGTTGTGGAATTCGAAACATTGGATCCTCTTTATCCGATTCGTTGGAATAGGGAGAAGATATATACTGCGAGGGGTTATGATTTCTTTTAACGGAAAGAGGCTGAACAAGTTGCATAATTCAATTCTGTGTGCACAAAAGGTTCTGAAGCAATCAGTCAAATTACCGAGGGACTGACTTCTCCCTTGACTGTTATATCAATGTGTTTATCAAGACTTTTTTGTATAAAAACCAAAGTGATTCTGGTTCGGAGAATTATTATTCCAGTTCATATTAGCTTATCACAAATACTCAGTCTTTCGAAGACTAATTCCTTTCCTTCTCGTGTACGATTTATCCTGAACAATTTCTAACCATTCTGCATGAAGTTCTCCATGAACAGGAAGATGTTTACAGGTTGACTCCGTACATGTGAGAGCGTGTTTTGCAGATTATGTTTCCTCCGACTGTCTGCAGTCGCACAAATATTGGCTGAATGGAAACCAGCCGAGCACATTGTGATCAGTTTATTTGGAGATCTCGACCGGCATACGTCAATTTTTTAACATATCCATTACACGCCTATTGACGTGGATAATTTGATGCCGGCCTACCCATATTTATCGATTAGTGTATAAGTCATGTTTATTTCTTCCGGAATTATTTATGAGCGGCAACAGTGAACGATCTGGGAACCGGTTAATCCATAGAGGTGTGTCGTTATCGCATCGACTCAACGCATGCGTGTTCGAATTCTGGCATCGATTTCCAATGAGTCTGGCTATTAGGGCAGGGATCAACTTTTCGATAATGTAGATAGCGCTCCAGATCCCATTACTCAAATGTCCGTTCCTTACACAAACCAACCGTGAGTTGAAAATGCGCATCCAAACCTGAACGCTGGACCTGATATGGGAAGAGACTTAGCTGGAAATGAACAGGTTGCATCCTGTCTCATTTCGAGCTACCGGGCCAGTAAATATCTGATGATCTCTAAGGTCCACATCTGCATAAACTTGGATGGCTAATTCCGAGTAGCTACTTAGTGAGCTGATTGACAAAATGGTAAAATATATTCCTTCCCTGATGGAGGTCCACAGTTCAGCGTCCTAATTGCCTGACACAGGTGCACTAATGACAGAATCCACTGCGTCCTGTGCGACCGGCTGATCTGGTGATGGTGTGTGAAGGGGAATTCCGATGGAGGGCCAGTCATAGCCGATAACACTGATTACTACTTCTGAGTTACTGGGACCAGATAATGAGAACTAAAGATCCAAATTGTCACATATACACACTGAAGCTGAGAACGATCCACGGGGAAATCAAAACGTATGAAACAATGGGAATAGTGTTTTGAAAATCAATGAATCTCAGGCAACTGCAAGAATAGGTGTTTTCTGTGACTGATGTGGAATTTGCCATTTGTCGAGCAAAATAGGATAGTTAGACAAATTTGGGGGGTTTACGTACGATTTCGCGCATTTTTGGAATACAAAAAACTCATACCGATCGGCAACATTGGCAAAGTAACTGATGAATAAGTTAATTTTATGTATTTATTTCGTTTCTTCTGGTGGACAAATTCAAATTTTTCGGATTGATGTAATCACCAATGTGTAACCCTCAATATTTTCTTCTAAAAGAACAAGAACATTTGAAATGCAAGAGAGGAGCTCAGCTTGTATCTTCTCGAGTGAAAGGAATATTGAGCGAGGAAATTGCCCTAAATTACTTATCAATTCTCTGTGTCGCTATAAAAGTGCATCCAACTAAATCAAGTAATCAATATTTTGGTTGGAAAAACGGGGTCCTGCGCATTAAAAGACTAAAATAAACGGTACATATCGATCGAAGGTAAAATTTGACACACACACACACACGTGACCAAGTGCATACTTACAACTGGTCCACGCAATCCGGGCATACCGACCGGGCCGGGTCGTCCAGTTACACCGACTGCTCCTCGTCGACCTGGATCACCCATCGGTCCCTGTTCACCTGTCTCACCCTTCACTCCTTTCAAACCGCGGGGACCTTCTGGACCTTGTGGGCCGGTCATACCCGGTGCACCTTCTGGGCCGGCTGGACCGGGTGGACCACGAGGACCGGTTTTACCCATTTTACCCCGTGGGCCAGGTGCACCGTCTGGACCCATTGGACCGGGAGCTCCCTTGGCACCGACCGGGCCTTTCGGACCAGCTGGGCCGGGCAAACCTGCGGGACCCTGTTTTTAAACAAATGCAAGTGACAGAAATAAGTGCACTTTAGTTAGGAGTGATCGTCATATCACTGACCGATTGTTTATCGATTTCCGACTTCTAGGTAAATGCTGTCCCGATGAGGCTTGATAAATTTGGTGGAATATTACTCAATAGTTGGCTCAGCTACTTAGAACTGAGACATGCTTCGTTGAAACAGAAAGCAAATTTAACTCTTTTTCTTTAATTCTTCACGTATGACACATCTTATCGTAACCAAAGGTTGGATAGTACACTCTAGTTGTACCATATTATCTACAATAGAAAACCAAATGACCTCAGTGACGATCCAGACCATCCCGGAAATGACAAGCCCACATAGTAACCTGTGGATTTCGACAAGTCATTCACATTGAAACGATGGAGATGAAGTAAATATTAGGATAGATGTTCGAAAAATCTCGATTTGCTGAAAATACAATAGACCAAATTCCACTTTCTGACCTCGAAATATACCTGAAGCCTGGTCACACACAAGGAGAGAGAGTGGACGTACTAGTTCTCCTTTCGGACCTTTCACGCCGGGAATTCCCATATCTCCCGGTGGTCCTTGCAATCCCGGGGGTCCATCATCACCGGGAGCTCCGACCACACCTTGAATACCCGGGGTTCCGGGGAATCCAATAGACCCGGGTACACCGTGGATACCCTGATCACCTTTGTCTCCTTGCGGTCCGGCCGCCCCGACTGGACCAACATCACCTTGTTGACCCATCATTCCTGGCGGACCGGCCAAACCGGTTGGTCCACGAGGACCACGTGGACCGGGAAGACCAGTGTCACCTTTTTCACCCGGCAGACCGGGAGCTCCGGGGGCACCGCGCATTCCAATGGGACCGGGCGCGCCAGTAATACCACGATTTCCCTCCGGACCAATCAGACCTTGAGGACCTTCTTCACCCGGTTGACCGGGGATACCTGGTGGACCCTGAAATGTATAAATGCAAAAGGAAATTTGACGTAATAGTTCTATTTGAGATGAGTGTTCCTCGTTTTGTTTTACAATTTTGGTTGAAAGAATGACTCATTTAGCTCAGTTGAGTAACCTGTCATATGTAGTGCTCAGATAAACACAATACACAGCCAGATTATCTAATTACGCGATGGCACTAGTTTTTCTTATCTACCCAGTTGCCCATGTTACCCTTCCCCGTCCCCCACCCCGTTCAAACACCCAAAGACTTTGCAATACAAATGTCTCTATGGGAGTCATGTTACTATATCACTCATTCATATTTGTATGCTTTCACATACTAAAACCCCTGATGACAGTTTTATGCCGGTTGTCGAAACCAGAAGGTGTAAAGAGTCCACTACACACAATCGCTTCACCTGACATTACACTGGGCATTGTGAAGAAGCTGCCCGGTCGTATTTATGTGCGTTTCAACGTGCGTGAACCAAATCAAGGTTTGTGCATCAACCTAATTGATCTGTACCGTTTCTGTGTGCGAAAATGGTAAACTTAATGAGTGAATGCGAAATTCACTTATGCTACTACAGTGAATAGAAAATGAAGATATATCAAAAGCATGAAAGTGTAGTTTGAATTTTAAACTCACTTGAATTCCAGGCAAACCGGGGCTACCAATTGGACCAGGAGGACCGCGAATACCCTGTCATAGGAAAAAATCAGACAAGAGAACAGTATGAACGCAGTTAGAAATCAGTCTCTCCGGTGAATCGCTTCAGACGGATCTCAATCATAGAAATCCGACAACTTACCACACCACCTTTGTCACCTTTGATTCCGGATGGACCGGACGCACCCTTTGATCCTTTCTCACCGTCAAAGCCGTGCGGACCCAACTGACCGGTCGGACCGGGACGACCTTGGGGACCACGTGGTCCGCGTGAACCAATCAGACCGAAAGGACCATCCACACCGGTTGAACCTTTCTCACCAGCTGGTCCCGGTGGTCCGCGCGGTCCGGTTAAACCTACGCAGACATGAAGAGTATTGTGTTTAGCACAGGCTAGTAACTGATTCCACTCCAACTCGACCACTTTGGTAGATTGTTTCAGAGGGTTCGATGTGATATCAAACGATCAAATAGTATCAATCTGTCAGTGATCATGAATTCCATTCAATGATACAGACCTTGTGTTCTCCGCAATATAGATGACACTAGTGAGACAGTATGCACGGAAGTATTTCCGATCAGTATCAAGACGGACATAGAGATTAGGAGAAAAAGATGCAGAAAACGAGTCCTCACCTGGAGGTCCGATTGGACCTATCGGTCCTTGATCACCCATATAGCCTTTGCTTCCGATTGGACCGGGCTCACCAGTAGGACCGGATTCTCCTTTTGGACCAGCAGGTCCAGGACGTCCGGGCATTCCGTCGAATCCGGGGAATCCACGCGCACCACGGGCTCCAGCCAAACCTTGCGGACCACGGACTCCCTTAGCACCAGGGGCACCGTCTCGTCCAGGTAGACCGTCTTTACCTGCATCACCAGCTGGACCCTGAGAATCGCACGCATACGAATGATATGTATGAATGGAGGAATGTATAATTATCCAATATAAACTGTTCGTAAAATCTGATGTCTGTCGCTATGGCACACCTGTGGCGACACAATCGATCCCACTCACCCGAGGTCCCATGGGGCCACGTTCACCGTCTGGACCAGGGTCACCGGTCGCCCCGGGAGGTCCAGTACTACCCAATGCACCCGGTTGACCGGGGGGACCACGTTCACCAGGCTCTCCACGAGGTCCGGGAAATCCGACAGGTCCAGGTCGACCTACCGGGCCCTAGAAAACAAACCAAATAAATTCGATCAATGAGAACAAGGAAATGGGTTGAAAACATTTGCAGAATTGGACCCCGAAATAGAGTGGTACTACACATAAATTGTCATTCAGAACAGAATTGAAAAAGTTAAATGTTGTTTTGATCATCCCTCCAACCTCGCTCCATCTACTCACAGGGATCTTTTTGTGCCCTGAAACTCCGTACTCCAGTTACCGCCAGTCGGCGTTTTAAAGGTCGATATTTACTGCACCTATGTCTCATTTATGCTTCAAAAGATTGGGAAACAAGTTGCTCAGAACTGTTTGGGTTGTGTTCAAGATGTTCCGAATGAAGTGTAATATTGCTACACATCCAGAAAACCTTTTTTATTGAGGTTTCTTTAAACTGCATGAACATTGAGACTGAAGGACCACTGATCACTTATCGAAGAACACACGTGGTCTTGTAACTATCTTTCTATTTCTCTCCTAGTATAATCAGTTTATTCCTGAGTCCCATTTGATCTGAACATACGGAAAATTATTTCGATATACCTGATAAACGATTTTGTAATTAACCGGATCCAAGCATTCACACTGTAAATGGTATTCCCACTTACTTGTGGTCCCGTCGGTCCAACTGGTCCCATTGGTCCTTGCACACCTTGTTCACCAATTGGACCGGCTGGGCCGACCGGTCCAACCGCTCCCGAATCACCCTTCAATCCGGGTGGACCCATTTTACCCGGTGCTCCTCTGGACCCGGGTGATCCTCGTTGACCTTGTTCACCCACGTCACCTGGGGCACCTGGAATACCAATTTCACCTTTGTCACCATCTCGACCACGTGGACCGGCTGGACCAATCACACCACGTTCTCCGTCAGGTCCTGGCGGTCCGGGTGGACCGATTGCACCGATAAATCCTTTCACACCGGGATCACCGCGTGCTCCAGCGGGACCTTGAGGTCCCGGATTACCTTTCTCACCCACTGGACCGGGTGTGCCCACGGGGCCGGGTAGACCGATGTCACCTTTGACACCTTTCGGACCGACCTCTCCGTTCACGCCCATCGGTCCGGGTTTACCAGCATCACCTTTCGGTCCCATCGGACCCATTCGTCCACGATCACCTTTATAACCGCGGGGTCCCTGAATACCGGCTTCGCCTTTTTGACCAACTAGACCGACATCACCTTTCGGTCCAGTATCACCTTTCTGACCTGCATTTAGGCGGATAGAAGTTCTGATTAATGACAAGTTATGATACGCACTTATGATCTATGTAGACAAATGAACAGGACATCTGACCTGGGAATCCGGGAGCTCCATCCGAACCGGGAACACCGGCAGCTCCAACACGTCCCGGTTGACCGGATGGACCAGGGGGACCACGTGGACCGGCAATACCCTCAGGACCAGGTGCACCGGCTGGTCCTGGTGGCCCGGCCAACCCGGGAACACCTTGTTCACCAATTTCACCTTTGCGACCTCGTGGTCCTATCCCACCAGGTTTACCCCGTGGACCTTGTGGACCGGGAACACCGATTGGACCTTGAACTCCAGGCAGACCGATCTCACCCTGTTCACCCGGATCCCCGACCGGACCACGGGGACCTTCAGCACCGGGTAGACCGAAATCACCTTTCGGGCCACGAAGACCTACTTCTCCTTTGGCACCTTTTGGTCCCATATGACCGGAATCACCAGGTCGACCGTCTTCACCCTGTGTGTTAAAAGAGATGGGAGTTGAAAGAGAAGCGTTTTGATATGTTGTGCCGTCGACTGCTGTGTAACCTCGGTCGTATCTGCTCTTTGAGATTTCAGATCAATGTAAAATAATTCAGTGAGTTGGATATTAGTAGTGGTATCTTTCACAGATCAAAATTCCAGTGACAGAATGAAACATTGGAATTCGAAGACGCCCACAAATTCGTGTGCTCTCTCTCTAATACACACCAGTCACTGTTGCAGCATCAAGCCCCGCAGGCTTTTCGTCCAGTAATTCTCACTCAACCATCTGAGAATCGACTAAACCATCAGGGCTGCTTCGAATACAACAGCATGTAGTGAAAAAATGTGCCTAATATACTTGAGAAAATCGCCAATCAACCCTTGAGATTCGTGCTTAACGGTAAACAGAATATTCATTTAGTATAAGTTACTAGATGAACGTTTGTTGCGGGCAAATCATCATTCAACTTCATTCCCTTAATTTTCTAATTCAGATATAATTTGAAATGGTAATCCATACAAAAGCGGAACAAGGGTATTCGTGACCAGTTGTGATGGTTAGGAAAATCTGGCGATCAACTTACCGGTGGTCCGTTCGGTCCCGGCTCACCGCGCGATCCATCTCGACCGGGTGGACCCTGAAGGGGACAGATAATGACAGTGGAGAGGAGTAAAAAATAAGGCCGAAGCAGAGCGGAATCCGCTGCACTTTACAGGTGAGGGAGTCGTAAAGTCATTGATCCCCATATAAATGTCACAACCACAAACTACAAAACAAACTACGAACAGGTGGAAAAACTGGGCACATCCATCAAAGTCGTAGCCACTTAAGATGAGATTTTTGTGAATGGAAGAGGAAATCGGGATGGCATGGAAAATAAATGTATTATTTTTTGCGTAAACGAAGTTCTATGAAGCTTGGACGTAGTAGTCTAATGCTTTTCACTTCTAAGGTGCGTGTTTCGATTTCGCGAGTGAGTGAAAGGAAGGGATAGGGGGATTATGATAGAATGCAAAAGAATATACTCACAAATTCAGTGATTGTCTCTCCGTTTTTATTTCAAAAAAGAAACCTATTTGGGTTATCGATAAATGTGACAAAACTGACAAATTGATCCAAGCCAGATTAGGTAACAAGTAGTAAGCAAAGCAATTAGGCATCGTGTGATCAGATAGGAGTATTTTCTCCACAGTTTGCATGATTCAGAAGACCAGTGAACAAACTAGGTGTCATGGAGCCGGTGCACCCTCCCCCCTGCCCCGAAAATTGCTCCGTTCAGGGACAACCAATCAGATCAAAGATAGCCCAACACAGGTGACTGATCAAAATCGATAGCCAATCCAGAGGGTTGACAACAATCCAGTCTACTAATCATCGTATGTGTGGTTTACTTTACCTCTCATTTTTCCTATGAATGCTTCGGTACAGTAAAGGAATTCGTGTATGTTTCCGGCTCTGTTCTATGTCACTTCCTATGTGGAATCGCCATCTGGACTAAAACGCTATGCAGGAACAATTATTAGAGAATTCTTTATCGAAACGATACGCGTGCAGTTAAACTTTTAGTGATGTTTTATTAGAGTTACATGAGATTTAACCCACCTCCTATATATCCCCCGATTGAATCACGAGAAACTAACTCAACAAGCATTAGAGAAGGGGTTTTTCGAGTGGTATAGCCCCCTCGTCCTTTGGTTTGTAGCTCGTGAGTTAGTACCAGACTCTATTTCCCCATTAGTTGTATTTTTGTGCCTCCATGCAGTCGCGGCCTCTTTCTGACTGTTTGTTTTAACGTCACCGTCATATTATCAAATAAACGCAGATAAAAAACACTATTTTTGAAAATAACATTTAAATTTGGAATGAATTAAATTAATTGATTCCAAACAGATACATCTGATTAGAAAGTCGATCAAAGAAAAGCAGTACATCAGTAAAGAGCTGTGATCATCGGGAAGTGAAGATGTATAGACGTGAGATTAGGTAGAAATCGGATGTTTTAACTGTAAAAAATTTGCGGGAAACATTACTCGGCTATTCGGATCAAATTGTAAACAAGAGAGGGTTTATCGAAAACCTCGAGTTAGAAGAATAACCAGTATTATGTAATACACTTATTGCAGTTTTTCTGAATGTGTCAAACTTTGATCCATGCAAAATAGCAGTTCTTTTATCGATATGCTGACTGAAGTGTCATGATCAATCATAAATTAACGTGTCCTGTACCGCTTGATGAAACCACGGAATTTAACTAGGCGTCCGTGGAATCAGAAAGCTCTAACAGAGGCGAACTGAAGAACTGAAGATACATCAATCAACCTGACATAGTCCTTTACATAAGATAATTGACGGAAACTTTTGTCTAACGAAGATGCAATTCAGTTTAACAGATAGCATGATAATTGGATTGACAATGATCTGTCACTCGTACGATACAAACACGTTGTGATCGTTTGTTCTTCACGTTTTTGCTATCTCAGTTCTGAACATTTTGTCACCAGGTTGGATAACATCGTCAGCAGAACTGTAAATGAAGCATCGTCTACCGCTTGCCATTGGCTTGTGTGGCTATTACCACGGTTTCCCTTGCTGATCATGAAGCGCACCATTCTGAGGACTGCCAGACTACTCGAGCACTGTGATTAGCGAATGGACACTAAAAGACGGTGCTTTATTTGAGATTTGACTAATACTGTTTGTAATGTTGTTTACCCCTGTACCCGAAATGCTCAGAGAATGCATCACCACCAATTTTCCAATGTGCTTTTGTGTATCGTTGACTCTGTCTGTTTCATATTGATTAATGCATGCGACTAACTTTGATTTCTGTGTTCGTTCCGTTAGGTGTGATTTATAGCCATTGCGCGTTGATTAACTTCTCCAAAGACATGAAGTTGAGTCAATGTATACGTCCTATTAAAGCTGTTTTATTGATTGATTGGATGGATGATCTATTTATTTATTGATTGATTGATCGATTGATTGATTGGTTGATCGATTGGGCAGTCGAAACGCGTGAACAGTTTTCATTCTGACCATCTTCTCACTCATGGAAAGATAGCCAGTGGGCTATAACAAGGAATCATGTTCACACAGTAAGGGCATCATAAAGTCGAGTATCGATCGTGGGATGCAAATACAGACAAACTCACAGCTGGTCCCGGTCGTCCAATCAAACCCATCGCACCGCGAGGTCCTTGGAATCCAGTCTCACCAGGATGTCCTGGTTCTCCTTTGATACCACGTTCACCTTGCATTCCATCGGGTCCAGGAATACCGGTCATACCACGAGGACCGCGAACACCTTTCAGGGAAAGCTAGATAAAGAAAGACATGGAGTGCGTAAACCAAGTTAAGTGTGCATGTAGTGCAAATCGGCACAAACTATAAACCTGGTCTCACATCTGGTGACCTCTTTACATACATATGAACGGGACTGGTTCTTTCAATGATACCGAAGTTATTTTGCTTGTTCAATGTGGATTGGTGATAGGCGGTAAAACGAATCTTCCTTAACTCTTGAGGATGTGAGGACGAGTGAGAGTATTCTCACTCAAATCCTCTAAGATAGACCCGATCTGGGTGAACGCTTTCGGCAACCGGAGCATATTCTAACTCTCTCTCTCTCACCGAAGCTATCGGTTCAACAACTGGTTCACTATCTCTAAAGGTGATATCCAAATAAAATTTACTTGGTGATTCTCGTCAGCTACGGTGTGATCTGGCTGACCCAGTAGTAACACACCTTCCATTATGCGGGTTCAGAGTTCAAACCGCGAACATTTCGTGGAGTATACACTATTGATGAGCTTTAACGAGATGAACCGAGAAAATCAATAAATTGACCTGTGAGGAATCTCTTTCCAAGAGGGTAGTCAATATCCTGAGCTGTTTGATCGACTGTGACCATTGCTCAAGGAAATCTATAGCTTGCTGTGATTCAACTTTACGCATAAGCTTCACGGTAGCATGTAACTAAAAAATGGGAATTTATGAATAGTAAATAAATTTTCTAAATGTGTTTCTTTGTGTCTGAATAGCAAAAGGTTCAGTAGTCTCAGCGGGTTTCGAGCCCACGCATGAACGCCGCCCGTGCTTTTATACAGCGCACTCTATACTAGCTTAGCTACGGGGCCATGCAGGTGGCACTGATCTTTTCGCATTCGAATCAGCCATCCAAGCTACCGAGGGATATGAAATATACCAGGTAGCATGTCAGTTGACAGCCTCGATAGGCTTTCCTTATTGCGATGGAAATATTTGTGATGATCGTCAAGAGTGCATGGTGCTTCTGAACAATCCAATGGGCTTATTCAAGCTTGATACTCTAAATTGATTGAGTCATTCGCACAACGTAATGACAGTAGCTTAAGACAAAGGATTTGAAGTCCCAACCCGAATGTTCTCGGTTTGAGTCCTGATAGGGACACCAAAGTATGCACTGCTGACGAGTTCAAAACGGGACGAAATAGCTGTCCAGTGCTCTTTGTCGGTTATCACAAACATTTCCATCGCGTTAAAATGCATTCAACTAGTAAAGGAGTTAACGATCTCCCAAGGAGTGAAACCCACGTCCAAGACCATCACGAGTGCTTGGTGCCTCGGAACAATCGAATGGGCCAATCCAAGCTGGACACTCTAAATTCCGTAGTTCCCACTGGAATCCGTGTAATGAACTTCTGAGGCGGGGTTAATTATGTTGTTTGTCAGAATCAAGTCTTGTATTTCAACCGGGTGAAAAGTTAAGTAGCCTCGGTGGAATTCAAACCCACGCGTGTTTTCCGTGCGAACTCACACATGCACGCAGGCACGTGACCACTTACCAGATGTTTTTGCAACAGATCCCGGAAGGTCGCAGCTCGAGCAAAATTGCTACTGCCAATGCCCAAATTCAGTGGTATCACAAACAACGAACCGGCCGGTCCAGGTGGTCCAGCTTCCCCGGGCAAACCGTCACTACCATGAGCACCCTAGTAAGGGAGGGGGAGAGCAGAAACAATAAGAACCGAGAACGATGACATTACGTATGAGACGAGTTTTGAAACTTGCGCGAAAAGAGTGGAACAATTGGTGCAAGTTAAAACAATTTCCTGATGAGTTATGTGCCGTATTATCCTAGAAGATACATACAAATCAAGGCCTAATTGATCGGAGCAGAAGAATCAAGTTGTTTGATCGATAACGAGCACCAATGTATCATCTTTGTACGATCGTTATTTTTAAATTTCAACTATAATATCAGTTGTCTCTTTTGAATTCCACTGAACCAAAAGCTCGCCTGGCCCAGCGTTGGCCTTAATTATCATGAGTTTGCAAACCTCGTTAACGATTGGTAGGTATTAAATAGAACCCGTGGAAACGGTCACACGGCTTTGACACCGCATTTAGTGTGTGTTGAACAATTAGCGATTGGATCAAGTATAATATTGAATTCAATGTGCCAAAGTGTAAAGTTCTATATCTACGTCAAAAGGGGCGATTTTCGTATTTCCTTGGAAATGAACAACTGCTACACACCTCAACTGAGAAGGACCTGGGAATCATCGTTCAACAAAAAACTTAAACTGTTCACTCAACTGCACCAAGGTGTCGAACGCAGCTGTAGAGGATATCCGTTTGCTTAGAGGGGTCTTTGACCGGTTTGCGTCAGCGCTTTTCCACCGTCTGCTATCAGCATACATTCATCCACTCATAGAGTACGCCATCCAGGCATGGAAGCCATGGCTACAACGTGATTGCAAAATTCTGGAGCATCCACAAAGGATGGCCACCAAAATGGTTAGGGGCTTGAATCGCTATTCATACGCATAGAGACTGGAGTTGTTGGGATTATAATCCAATCACTACCGACGCATCAGGGGAGACATGATTGTGGTATATCAAATAATGCAAAACCCAAGCCATCCGTATCGCCCGCTGCTAAAATTATGACCAAAAGTTCATCTTGGAGGACATCCATTCAAACTAGTGGTCTCAAAATGCCGATTGAAATGGTAGCATCAGTCATTCGCAGTCAGTGTGTATTCGATCTGGAACTCTCTCCCACCCCACGTCGTCTGTGCCCCAAGCATTGAATCTTTCAAGTTGAAACTCGGTAAAACACTTGCACACCTTACATTCCAACATAAGTGAAGCTGCCTGCAGCAGTGGAAGAAGCACGTATCATGTGACGTTTTACGCAATGAATTGTATGTATCACTGTCTTTTAACCACAACACGAAACTATGGGACCAGAAAAGCATGAACTTATACGTTATTCCCTTGATAAATCTTTGATTTACTCAGAAGCAGATATCGAACACAGTGCTAGTTCCGTACAGTTGGTGAAATGCCCAAAGAGGAAGGAGAATTTAAAGGTCGGTGTTCCAAGCTAGACGTATCATCCCACTTCCCAGATAATGGGACGTCAGATCCTCACCGAATCCCTGTATTTCAGTTAGACATCAATTGCATGCGTAACTGAGTAGGTGTAGAGGAATGTAGAAGGTCACTCGGAGTGTGCATAGGTGATAGAAATGAAGGGAACACTTACCGGTTCACCCTTGTCTCCCGGTGGACCCATATCACCCATCGGTCCAGTCGGTCCCTGAGAAGAACAGACAGATAGTTCAAACAATGCAAAGCACTTAGTAAATCCCAAACAATGATGAAACAGCAAAACAGATGAATCAATGAATTAGAAATAACAGTAGTTATAATATTAACTTCGGCGGAAAGATGGTTTTAGTAACCAAGTGACTAGCATTTTAAAACAACCCAAACTGTCATTGTCATAAAAGAGATTATGTGATGACCAATGAGGTCGCAAGTCGGGCTCCTTCTGTTTCATAGGTAATGCCAGATACGGAACAATAATGTGCTCATTTCTTCCAAAATTATTCTAATGGATCATTGGCGAATTTAATGGCAAATGGCCTGCACCTAGGATGAGAGAATCGATCGATATCTGTCCGTAAACAGGTTGCATTTAGACTGATCAATCGTATAACACGAAGACGGACCCTGTTGTGCCACCAGGACGCATGGAGACTTGTACACTTTGAACCATGTTGTATACGGTGTGTTACCGTCTGCTCTTGCGGGACCGCACTTTTCCTCAACCAAGATTTGGTCTTAAACAAACGCTTGCAAACCCCTGGTCACATAATAATAATAATACACATAAACTACTTTAACAAAGCGAATAGTGACTGCCTCAGATGCAAACCCCACAAGCCAGTGTGTTAGAACTGTTCTGATCCTGACAGTTTGGTTTATCGTCACCAAATCGGCACTTCGTCCACCCGTTGCACATCGTCAACCGCAGCTCTCCTAGTGATCACTGAGTGTTCATTTTCGCACAGTATGTCTGAGGTGACTGAGCGAACCCATCAATGAAGCCGGTCGGTGTCCCCTCACACGTGACTCGTTGCCTAATCGGAACCCCGTTGGTCAACACCTCTCCTCCCTTCCGCGACATGCTCCTTAGGCGTTGCCGATCCCACATCGATCGAATACAGGACTGAGCAACACACATACACTGACTTACTGTTTAGGCCTCTCTAACCAACCAACCAACCACACACCCCCACCCACCATAGCGGTTCTGTCGTCCACACATTCGACTGTTTTATTCTGCACGTGCGCACGTCATGCAACCTATTTTGGCTGTTGACCTCGACAGAGCTGCACGGTCTCAATTTGTCATTTGAACTCGCGACGCGTGATGCGTCACTCCGTCAATCGATTCAAATACGCGATCGAATCGCGAATGCCTCAGGACAATGTAATCGTCTTAACTTACACACTTGTACACTTGACCTGTTTCCAAACACGAATATTTGTGGTGAAAGTGTTGATGTAAACAAAACAAAAATGCAGGGGAACTACTGAATCAGGATGAAACAGCTGCTCCATTTTCGTTGTCCAGTGGGTACCATGTGATTCATTGAAATGCAAGTTGAAGGTCACACGGTACTCAAATTAGTGTCCCTATTTGAGTCTTGTTTCGGTCAGTCTGGGTGGTCACGTGAGCTACACATATGTGAATGAACTCGCACCACTTCCATTTGCTTTTTAGCGTTTTTCGATAAACCATGTGTGAATACGACTAACCGGAGTACGATGCCATCTTTCACAAGCAGACAACCAGGCAATCACAGGCAGGATTTAAGGCGATCAATTCATGGAGAGACGAACAGTTGTGCCGCGCACGGCATCTGCCTCTTTCTCTTCTTCTCGATCCGTGTTTCAGTTAGAACAAAATTGAGCGGGATCTGCATGAAACTTGCCTGCATTGAATTTTCCTTTCGTTCAGCCTGGAAAAAAATGAAGACAGAAAGATTGCGTTAACTACTTCGTTCATCGTAATCGATATGTATGACGACAAAGTACAAAGCTCATCGCTTGTTACGCAACATGTGTTCACTTCTCGATTTGTCTACCTGCCAATTGGATCAGATTTCAAAATAATAAGAGGAATTCAAATGAGGGTGAGGTGTGGAAAAGGTTATCAGAACAGTAATCTTGGAAGTACTCAATTTTTGTATTTTTTCAGTCAGTCTTTGCTTGACCTCACCTCCCTTCCTGAAAGTTCATGGTACATTTATGTACTCAAGCAATAGAAAAGACGTAAGCCATTAGTATTAATATTACTACGAACCATAACTACTGAATAGCATGAAGTCTGAGTCTGTGGTGATCGTGCAACGAGTACGCACGCACCACGATATAGCTTCCGGGTAGCCAATCAGGAAACGGATTCCCCGACTAATCCTGTGGTCTTAATTAGAATCAACCGAATTGGTTGAGTGCAAACGGGCCATATCTTTGTCGATTGGACATCGACCAATGATTGTTTGATGATTGTGATATTGATTTGCACAATTTTCCGAATAGAATTAACTGTATCCGCAGGTCGTCCTGGATCTATTCAGTGGGTTTTTATTTCCGAATCCGAGTTCGCATTATCCGATTCCTATTCCGACTGCAACAGAGTCTCCGCGAGAAGAGGAAACCGACGACGTTTTTTGTCTCTAACACTTATTGGAAGCACGTCACCAAGCTTTACACATCAGTTAGCAGATGCCTCCTATCTCAAATTCCTGTCTAGAATAATTCTGTACGTTATTGTTACACATACGTAGCTGAATCCCCCCGAAGCTGGATAGCTGAAGACAGCAAGCAATCGGACAAATCACATTCAAGTGTCCAGCGAGGAACACGTTGAAGTTTTTGTAGTCTGGTGGAGCATAGTGTGAGCCCATTGGTGTCGAAATCCAACGCCGTCTGGTAGGAATGTCCTCAAAATGACCGGTGAGAAAACCCTAAACATTGTCTATTCACGCAGGGATCAAAACGCGTTGGCTAATTGTGTGCAGGGGAGAAAAATTGCCTTCGTTCGAAAATCCTCTGAGCCCGGATAGGAGCTACGGAGGTGGATGCTGTCGAGAAAAGAGAACGTTCGACAGTGACCGTAGACGAACCTACTCACTCGTCTAATGCCTCGGTGGATTAACGTGTTGATCTTCTGGTGACACTGTAATCCATCGTTAGCCAAGTTCAGTCAGGGGAACGTATCCACTTTCGGCGGGATTTCAATCCTCCGATGGGTACACAAACTAGTACACTGTTTGCGCACGTGCCCAATCAGCTAGCGTGTTAGCGTTGTTCATCAAGACTTTGTGAAGCCAGGCGTTTCCTTCTTCTTTTGTTGTAAATCCGTTGACCATGTTAAAAATGAAACCACGTATGTGTATGCAACAAGTGACAATCATGAAAAAATGAAAATCAATATTGAACGCAGATTTGGCTTGTCACAGAACCGGGATACGCTGGCTGAAGAAGTGCACTGACAACACAAACCAATTCGATGATAGGCCATAAATCGAACGACTGTGATCGACATTCTACAAGTTTATCGCTTGAACTCTTCCACCCACCCACCTACTCCCCCCCCCGCCGCTCCCGTCTCCGTATACCTGACGTCCATGTTGTCAGATACGCGTGCATTTCCCACGACTGTGATCGACATTCTACAAGTTTATCGCTTGAACTCTTCCACCCACCCACCTACTCCCCCCCCCGCCGCTCCCGTCTCCGTATACCTGACGTCCATGTTGTCAGATACGCGTGCATTTCCCATGCACGGGATGTAACACGGTTCTTATCTCTGCGAGCTGAGAAAAAAATGACAAATCTTACTCTATCCCGGGAGTTGGGTTATCTTTACGGGTAAGCGGGACGGGGGCGGGGGGAGGTGAGTGTTTGGGGTGCGGAGTGGTGAGGCAAATTGACGCCTGTCATCTTGTGTGAAGTTCACATGCACTCACCTCGTCTCCCATCATGCGATCTTGTGCACAATCGGTACTGTAAATATCGCACTGTTTGCCAGCAGCTTCTCCACTCGGAATAAGGTAAAAATCTTGGATTGCTCCCTGTGTGGGGGGGGGAGGGGGACGTAGAGAGAGGAAATAAAAATCGATGAAGGGGAACGAACTAATGAACATGAACAGCAATTATTGGGATAGAGAGAGAGGGAGCGAAAATCGATTTCGTATCTAAATAAAGTGACAACAATTACTTGGAGTCCAACACTTCGTGTTGTCCTAAGTATTGATTATTTTTTAAGTAAGCAAAGTGAAAACCATTTACGTTTGAACCCGTGGGGGGGGGGGTCATAAAATGTAGACAGGATTCAAACTACACAGACCATACGCTAATTAGACTGGCAACTGCAAAATTGGCGAACGTAGTACCAGAATTAGTTGGGTCGCGCGCACACAAACATATGGTTGAAAAACCGGAAGAAGCATGGAATAAAATAATGTACAATTCAATAATTTTAAATTTGAGAATGTTTTGTCACCTGTAATCCAAATCCTTTTGGGTTTTTCTAAACGGTAATGAGTTTTACAATCAGTGAATTAAATTTAATCAATCTGAGTAGTTCAGTTACCTAGAAATTGCGAGAGAATCGGTATCGGGGGTGGGAGTAATCATTGCATTTCGTGCACCACTCTTGAAGAATCCGGATCGTCTGATCTAAGCAGAACACTTCATTTCAATATGGTCATTCGTCGATTGTATAGTTTAG